TGGGCCTTTCAAACTTTCTCCCTGCATACCCTCACAACATCCTTGTAATACTCCTGAGTTGTCTGCCTCTTCTTCCAAAGGTGATACAGTCTCTTTTTATCCCTGAGTTCCAGCCAAAGCTCTCTGTTCAGCCAGGCTGGTCTTCTTCCCTGATGGTTCATCTTTTGGCACATGAGGCACATGAGCCTGCTCAAAAATGTTGTAAGAGAAAACATTGTTTATACTTACCAATGATGTCTGATCCTCAAAAGGCCTGGTAATATTTTTCCTGAGAGGAGAGGGAAAAAAAAAAGTTAGAAGAAAAAAAAAAAAGACAACAGGCTCAGATAGCCACTTCTACTTAGTTCTCCAATAATAATAAAGTTCTGCATTCTACTGAAACTCCAGCAGTAGAGGCTCAGTTAGAGTTCAAACCACAAGTCATATTAATAGACTTCCAGACCACCATCACCACCAGTGACACTCCATGAACAGTTGCATTTGCCTGTTCATTCAACATTAAATTTAGCAATTACGACTGTCTCTGCACTACAGCCATACAGATATTGGGTTCCCATTTTGAGCAAGACTTACAGCTGAATCCTGCTCCATACCACCTGCCACAGAACAGGGCTCAGCATCAATGCTGATCATGTGTAGCTTGTTTCCAGTCTATTCAAAATTATGATCAATCTCAGCCACCTCAGGTGACCCTTGTCATTGTTCAAGCCCCCATACTGGTCAGCATCTTTATTCATGGTCTGAAATTACCAAAAGCTGTCTGTCTGTCAGAGGACTCAAAGACATCAAAGTGAGATCACTTACTTTTTATACAGGACAGCAAAAGGCTTCTTCACAGCATACTGCAAAACACAAAGTTAAACACGTGTCATCTCTAAAACATGCCCAGCACTGTTTTTGCTATAACCCTACAATTTACATGATCATATGAAACAGTAACTGTTTGTGCAGATCAGTCTAGAAGAAGGCACCTCAAAAAGCTTGCTGATAGTAACACCCTTCATGTTGGTGACAATCTTGGTTTCAAATTAATTGAAGGAGTTATTTGTAGAAATTGAGAAGCAGCTGAAATCAAAGTCATGTAAAGGAATCCCTCTGCTTCTAGGGATATGAGGACAAACAGCAGCCTAAGATGGTAAGAAAACAACAAAGCAATGTAAGAAAAGAGTGTAGGAACAGCTATGTTTTTCAGCTATGGACTTAGGAGACAGAATTGGTAACTTAAAGTTTTAGGAGAGGCTGAAAGCTCCATATCAATACATACAAGCAGTTTACAGGATTCTGGGATATGACTTAGCTGTGTGATACAGTCCCAGTTCTGTACCTAATCCTCTTGTTTTCAAAGGGACTTGGCAGAACTTCACTTTATATACTGGACAATTGTGGAAAAAATAAGAGAGCAAGCTCAAAATTTCTGGCAAAGAAGAAATTGGAAGAAAATAATCTCCATCAATAAGCAGGTAATGACACCTTTGGAGTACTGGTCAATCTGAGATTTGGGGTACAGGGAGAGTATGAAAATACTGACAGTCCAGCAGAGAATATGCAAATTGTAAGAAAGAGAAAGGAAGGCTGCACACTATGTCCAACAACTTACAATATCTTTAAGCACTGCAGTCACTGTTAAGTTTGCATTTCCCCCTCTTATGAGCATAGCATTTTTTGTATTTTCGTTAAGCTTGGGTTCTCTCTTCTCAAGAAATCTTTTTGCTCTCTTAGTTTTAGGCTTCCTGTAACAATAAATTAATAGTTAATAACTTAATATTAGTAACAACACCTGACACCACAGAAAACAGTGAAACCAAACTAGAATTGGAACAAGCTATGTTCAAGTAACTTGTTTCAATGACTCAAACTAATCCCAACCAGCAGAAATACAATCAATGCCAAAAGCTCAGTCTCAGATGAATGTGTTTTACTGCCACTCCTCTTCCTCTCTGTTCCCCCCAGGTACAAAAGGTGATTTTACAGTCTTGTACTTTTCCGTTTCTCCTAATTTAGAGGTTAAGATATACCAGGATTCCCAGCCTACTGACAGGCTGAAAGCTTCCCCTCACACCAGCTCCCTCCCCAAGCCAGAGACTTGCTTCTGGGAAGAGTATGGCACATCTGCTGGCAGGAACCAGAGAGCAGGGCATTAGTCAAGTGAAATACATCAGCCTTCGCAGGGGCACACAGCTTATATAAATCCGTAACTACACGGCTTCAGAAATACATTTCTCCACCAGGTTATCTTCTCCGTTAAACATTATTTTTAATTTCTTTTTCAAAACAAACAAAACCCCCAAACACACAGGTATCACAGGACCACAGAAAAACTAGGGTTGGAAGGGACCTCTGAAGATCATCTAATCCAACCTTCTCGCCAAGGCAGGGTCACCTGGGGAAGGTAAAACAGAAACGCATCCAGGTGGGTTTTGGATGTCTCCAGAGAGAGAGAGACTCCATGATCTCCCTGGGCAGCCCGTTCCAGTGCTCTGCCACTCTCAATCTAAAGAAGTTCTTCTTTTTCATGTTGAGGTGAAACTTCCTGTGTTTTACTTTATGGCCATTGCTCCTCGTCCTGTCGCTGGCACCAATGAAACTTCCAGCAGAGACGAAGGCAGTTCTCTCAGGTTTACAGAAACACACAAATTCAATACCAGCTGGGCACCGCGACTCCTTTAAGCCACCAACTGAGTAAGGGCTGACGGGCCATCACTAAAAAGACGGTAGCGCTCCGTTTTCCTCCTTCCCGCATGTTTTGCAGAGGGCTTTTCCCTCTGCTGACTTCCCTTCCGCGACCCTCCCCACAGCCCCGCAGCCGCCCGCTCTCGCTTCCCAGAGCCCGGGGAGGCAACAAAGCTCGGAGGCCGCCCAGGGCGGGAGGAGACCCCTGGCACACTCACACGACGCGGTCCAGCGGATCCATCGCCGCCGCCTCACATGCGGAAGGACGGGCGGGCACCGCCGTCCGTCGCGTCACGTCCGCCGGGAGCGGGCGGGAGGGAGCGCGCCGGGCCGGGCAATGCGCGTGCGCGGGGCAGGGCTGCGGGACCCCGGCGTCCGGCTGAGTTCACAGCGTCACTCGTCCCACGTGGAGAAGGGCTTGGAGCGGGAGCCATACGGGGAGCGGCTGAGGTCACTCAGTCTGTTCAGCCTGGAGGAGACTGAGGGGAGACCTCACTGCAGCTTCCTCACGAGGGGAAGAGGAGGGGCAGGCACTCTGTGGTGACCAGTGACAGGACCCAAGGGAATGGCCTGAAGCTGGGTCGGGGAGGTTTCGGTTGGGTATTAGGGAAGGGTTCTTCACCCAGAGGGTAGTTGGGTACTGGAACAGGCTCCCCAGGGAAATGGTCAGAGCATCAAGTCTGACGGAGTTCAAGAAGCATTTGGATGATACTCTCAGACACATGGTGTGACTCTTGGGGATGGTCCTGTGTGGAGCTGGGAGTTGGACTTGGATGATCCATGTGGGTCCCTTCCAACTCAGCATATTCTGTGATTCTGTCCCCCCTGCCCACCAATTTTTAACTGCATTTCAAATAAACAACTTGCTGGGCCTTTTTTTTCTACAAAATTGGTAAAAAGGCCAGAAACCAATTCTGCTAGAATATTCCTTGTACATAAGGAAAAAAGCTCACGCATACGTAGCTACAGACTTGGCAACTGGTTAAGAAAACATGAGATAGAGTTGCATTGTGACAGAACAAACTCTTGGAAGCACCTCTCTGTTCTCAAGGGGCCATGGCAAGCATGCTGAACCTACCACCCACCCAGCCTCCTCTGCAGGAGATTCAGCTGTCAGCAAGTGCAGCCCAGCTCCGCAAATGCTCCCCCCAGCAGACAAGAGCACGTGTTTCATCAGTTCATAACATTCCCAAGATCGTTATTCCAGTTATAATTATCCTCTATCAGCACCACACAAATCAAGTCTGAAGGATGCTTTTAAACTTCCGTGGTTGCAGTTAAAGCCAGAGAGACGACTGAGCGGTCTCCCTGAAACCTCAAGCGCAGACACTACCATGTAAAAGATCCATACCCAGGCTGGAGGCATACAGAACATGGTCCCTCTTCTTCTTCACCTTCCTCTCCCTGCCTCCCTTTCCCCTTTGATTCAAGTTGCTTCTACATAGAAAAAGCAGAATAGTGGGATTGATGGTTTGCAACTGCTGTGTTTTGATGACTTGTCTTTACCGATCCTGTGCTGTGAACAACGCTGGGAGTGAACTTCTCTGATCATTACTAAACTATTCCATAATTAATCTGGAATTAGTTAGGTGTTCCCATCCTCACTATTGCAGTTACACTGTTTTGAGGGAGGCAAAGGTAGGAAGGTAGAAAGGTCAGGAAGAAAATGTTTTCTGTTTAAAAAAATGTGCTTTTAAAAACATTATTCTGAGTGCACCACACACTCAACTGTGATATAAAATGGTGGGTAGCAATATAAATTATGTAGCATTATGTAGTGTCAACCCACAGAGTAGCTAGGCTCCACAATACATTTCCATGGACCAGTTTGGGAACCACTGATGCATGGGTACAGGATCTTAAGTATAAAAACCTTTAGAAAAATGCCAGAGGAGAATATTAGAGCCAAGAAGTTACTGGGAGGAAAAATAAAAAGGGAGGGGACCACAGTTCCTTTTGTATAATGTACATTATGTTATACAGAAAATGGGGGAAGGAGAGTGACAGATGCCTCTTTAAGACCTAGGTTTCAGTTGCTGACAAGTTTGCAGGGGTTTTCAAAACTTGAGTGGACAAAGACCTGAACAACTTGCCCTGTGTTGACCCTATTTTATATAAGAAGCTAGATTAGAGACCTCCTAAAGTCCCTTCCCACATGAAGGATTTCTAAGATCCATCAAGGAGACAAAGGACACTAGAGAAAATCCAAACTAAGCAATCTGCTATTCAAACAGTCAATAGAAGGCATATTTGTACTGCAGTTATTGAAAGGAAAAAAATCAAATAAGAGCAGACACATATGCAGCTGAATATGACACACAAGGGGAAGCTATATTTGAAAAATTCAAGACTTTATTTTAAATAATGATGTTTTTTAATTTTTACAAAATGTTCCAGACTGTACAATACATCAACATTTTTCTAAGTTATGAGTTTCTTTTAATTATGTAACCATTTCCCCTTGTTCAAGTTTGAGGTAGAGATACATACATTTCAAATCAGTTTTTTAAAAACACTTCAGCCCTTCCCACTATATTTCAAACACAAAAGCAATGCACAAGAACACAATGTCTGTTTTTCCATTATTAATTGCTCAGATAAAGTGGAAATCACGTCATAGCCTGTAAAAGTTGGCCTGTTAATTCCGTGAAAAAATCATGACAAAATCAGAGTTTATATCATGAAGGGACATCCTCTAAGGCAGTATTTCCAGAAGGAGATTCCTCTGTCCCAGAAGCAGGGCTTTCAGGCAGAGGAATAGAAGCATCTATTTCCAAGGTGTGCTGCTTCTCCAGATCACAATTCATGTCAGAATTTCCTTCACCACTCACCTCTCCCTCTGACTCTTCAGTCAATTTGTCTTGGGTCTGGCCTGACTCCTCAGAATCATCCTTTTCACGCATAAAACTGCAAATCATATTAGGCCTGCTGTAGGAAAAATCTCTGTCCTTGATCTGTAACCACTCCACTCCACCTGATGCAAAGAAGGAAAACTTGTATTAGTGACAAAAGGAGTTAAGAGTTAACGGCAGTTTTTTCTTAGCTAAGTTCACTGTTATTAAGGCTGAGCCTGACCAACATCTAAGTAAAAGAACCGCTTAGGACAAAAGGATGTCTTTCAAGAATTTGAACCAACACTAATTTTTGTTGCAAGCCTTGTGTGGGGCTTAAACCACTCATCTTCCTTGTAAACAAGGCTACAAATAACAGGAAGATATTTGGTAAAGAAAGGCCATCTTAAAATGAAGAGAAACTTGACTGTTGATAAATTAACAACACATGCACAGGCTAAACCAACTTCTCCAAGACATATAGCTACAGGTTCTTATCCAGATACTGGAGGCATTGTGCAAGGTTCCTTATGTCACCAGCTCCATCTCTAAAGAGCAGTCATGAGGGAGATAAAATTATTATGAAAGTAATGAAAAGCAAGATACAAAACTATGCTATGTCCATATCATGAGTGCTGTGTTCTGCTCAACCCACACTGTAAAACTAGAAAAGGGAAACAAGAATTGGTGAGTCAAGTTAGCTATACAGGGAAAGGGAAGCCAAGTAACCAACAACTACAAAAATCATAAAACAATTGCAACAAAAGACAGAGACTAGAATTCCACTCAAAGGAGACAGCTGTTTATAAGGCTGGCCTGGGAAAACAAGTAGGGACTGACTTATCTCCTAATTCTGATGACAAAATAAGTAACACACACTCATTGAAAGCACCAGATCGCATATTTGTAACAACCACAAAAGCAAACAAACAATCAGGAACACCCACAGTAAAGTTGCACTTTTTCCAAACAGAAATGTGATTTGAAAACTGTCATAAAAATGGAAGAAGTCAAAAGTATAAACAGGTTCAAAAAGCAAGTAAAAATGACAGAGCGTTTATGGACTAAAGAAATAGTAGTCCAAATGAGAACTTTTGTCAGGGTACTGATGAACTGCTGAATACCAGAAGGATAGCAAAAAAAAAATTACTCATGTGTATGTCCCCTCCTACTACTTCTTATACACCCATTTATACCAGATCAGGAAGGACATCGACCTGCTGGGGCGAGTCTAGAGGCAGGCCACCAAGGTGATTAGAGGGATGGAGCACCTCTCATACAAGGAAAGGCTGAGAGAATTGGGATTGTTCAGCCTGGAAAAGAGAAGGCTTAAGTGACCTAATTGTGGCCTTCCAGTATCTAAAGGGAGCCTACAATAAATATGGAGAAGGACTATTTACAAGGGCATGTAGTGATAGGACAAGGGGGAATGGCTTTAAACTGAAGGAGGGTGGTTTTAGATTAGATATTAGGAAGAAATTCTTTACTGTGAGGGTGGTGAGGCACCAGAACATGTTGCCTAGTGCAGTTGTGGATGCCCCATCCCTGGAAACGTTTAAGGCCAGGTTGGACGGGGTTCTGAGCTATCTGGTCTAGTGGAAAGGGTCCCTGCCCATGGCAGGAGGGTTGGAACTAGATGGTGCCTTTGAACTCAGGCTATTCTATGATTCTATGATTTACTACTGCCCACAGTTAGAAATACAATACAGGAATAAAACCACATTTGTTCTGATCCAGTATGAGAGTTCCTGTTGTATTTAAGTGTCTGACACCACCCTTAGACTCTTAAAATAACTGAAACATAATTCAAAATGCTGAGAAAATATTTTACAAATGCAATAAAGAGAACAGAATGTTTCTTCACCTAAATTTTAGAACATCTGGTAATATAAGGAATGACATTAGAATTAGTGCAAGAATTTGAATCGTTCCTTGAAACTCAGGTGTATCAAGCTCTTGGAACAGACCTTAAATAGAACTGGGATTCACCTCCCACTTCAATTTTTATGCATTACATGTTGTCAATTCACAAGAGGTGGTAGTTACTCTGCATGCACAACATTAAACTTCTGTTAGGGTACAGAAACAAAAACGTTTTTCAGCAAGTATCATCATTATTGCTGTTCCAGAACAAAAAAGGCCTTTTTATTAAGCAAAATATTCTCTAGTCTATTGTACTTTAAAAATAATAGTTTGTTTAATAGTTAAATATATGGAGAGAAGAAACAGTACATGGTACTGATAAGAATGCTGATGTTTGGTTAGATTGTAGATGGCATTTCATTTTATATCCCCTATGACCAATGTCCAGCTGACTGCTCAGATTTAATGTAAAATGGCTACATATTCTTAAAATATGACTCAGTAACGCTGACTTGAGCGAAAAAAGCAATAAAAAGCAATAGGATACTGCTAATGAATACTACTATATATAGTAGGATACTCAATATTTCACTATGTAAAAGTACTGACTTTTGTACAAAAAAGCACCACTAAAATAAAAAACAAAAATATGAGCACTGAGTTCTGCCTACACAATGAAAATCAATATGAATGGTCTTCTAGGTATGTTGTTGCAAGTTAAACTCATTTGCATTTAGCTGTAAATTCAGAAAGTACAATTCAGTTCTAGTACATACAACATGGAACTTCTTACTACTATTTTCAACAGTCACAGAGACTCAAAAATGAATTAGAAAAATTGATGAAAGTAGGAAAAAACAAAATCAACAAAGAACTACTAAACAACATCTCCAATTTCAAAACTTTTAGATGACAGGAAAACATACCAGGGTACATCAGCACGTGTTTGCCCTGCTCTTAAACTCTTTCGTAGGAGTCTCCTACTAGCTGTTTCTGGAGGCAGCACTGCTCAGGAGTATCTCTCCTCTTTCCATGTGTGTTTTGTACTTTTGCATTGAAATATACATATTTGCTGCCTAAAGAAGAAAGCTCCTTTAACTTTCTACATGCTCTTGAATCAAACACTTAATAAAGGCTGACATTCCCAAGCATATGTCATCCATGTCTGTATGCATAAAGGCACTAACCAACATTCTCTTCTCCTTCCTTCTTTTCTGTCAGAAGGGTCCGTGTCATGTTCAACTTCTTCACTGTGTGACACTTGTATTTCAGCTGTACTTTTTGGTTGCCTTCCGCATCTACTAAGAAGAGAGGAGAAAAAACAATACCCAGACCCCAATCATTATAGTGAATTCCACTATCAACTGAAATAAGTATTTTTAACCTCCCCAGCTACCACAATGAAAAGGACATTAAATCACAACAATTACCGTGCTCTGTGTTTTCTTCAAAAACCACACAGGTTCCCAAGGTATCTACGTAAATCAAAGTGAGAAAGTTTTAGAGACCAACTTATATCAGCTGCAGATACTGTACCCACTAGCCCAACTCTGGGAACGTTCTGATTTCCAGCCCCTCCCAAAGGCACTAGTAAGCACACTGCCAACTCAGGAACAGACAGGAGTATCACAGGAGGATCCCAGACCATTTCTCCCAGGCCACCGTTGTCACCGTAAGGCAAATGAGAGAACTACAGATTGTACAACACGTCAGTCCTGCTTACACAGGAGACAATAGGCACTTACTTTAAGGTGGTTTATGTCCCATATGTCTGTCTGCTGACATACTAGCTGGTGCACCCTGGAGTCAGCTTCCAGGCCTACTTCCCAGGAGTACCACAGATGCACAGTTAATTTAGCAGTGAACTCAGACTGCTGCTGCTCTGTATGGTGTTATACAACCACCCAGAACTTCAGCATCTCATAGGACCAATTGCAGGATAATTAACTAATGTTAAGAAAGCTCTCTGGGTCACATGAAAAAGGAGAGACTGTATTCATCGTAATTTTTCCTACCTTCATATTCTCCTGCAAATACATATCTGTCCACTTGTAAAATGGGCTTCTCTGTCTCTATTCCCTACAAAAAGAGGGACAAAATTGCACAGTTGTCAAGTCTCTATTAGCCCAGGCAAATTTCTCGCTATACAATCAGAGAAGACAGACATAGCAGAATCCAGATCACATCAATTCCTCGTAAAGATAATTGGTCCAAAACTCCAAACCATAAGGTAAAAAGAACAAAACAAGTAAATACAAGATAAAGTTTCTTTTGTTATTAGAAGAAAGGAATGGATTCCAGTCTGTAAAGCTTTCTCAAACTGCCAGGTTCATATGAAGAGAAGTACATCTTTAAAACAGGATTTATGGAAGTGGACAAGAGATTTCTGCAGAGGATATGATTTTACAGAAGCAAGTAGACTTGTGAAAAACCATGCAATTAAATTAATATTTATTAGTTTTCAAAAAAATGTAATAAAAGTAGTTTTAGTCATTACAATTGACCCTGAGGTCTTCTGCAATGTTAAACATCTGGGATGGGGGGGAGAAGGAGTTTTCTTTGTTTTTGTAGGAGGCTTAGTTAAGCAGCGATAACAACTGCTACAAAGGGTTCAGCCAATCTTACTGTAGAATCAGTGCACTGTTAATAAAATGTAATGACATTTTTTCAGACTATCATCAAACATGTCACTTTAACTATATTAAATACAAAAATATACCAGATAATACCCTTCTAGTAATCATAGCAGAACTTAGTATAGAACTGTCATAGGAAATGCTCTAGTATGTTAAAATAAATTTAGATCAAACTGCAGCCAATGGTCTATTTACAACTGTAAATGGTCTATTTACAGTTTATTTAAGTTACTGTTTATTTCCTCTAGGAAATTAATGTAACCTCCATTTCAAATTAACAAAAATGTATATGTTTGCACGAAAAAGATGTTATTTTCCAAGCTCCAATTAATGCAAGTTCTAGAAACTTTCAAAAGCCTTTGGAAAATACACAAGGTGAAGAAATCCAGCATAAACCATTGCATCAGCACAAGAAGTGCAATTGCTGGGTCACAGAAGCTTCTGTGATTTCTGTGTCTATATCGTGAAGGAGTTGGAAAGTGTTGTTATTGCATTTTTTTAAACAAGGAGTGGGAGGGTAAGGCAGTACTTCTATCAGCTCATTCCTTTCCTCTACAGCACAGGTTTTCCAAATACATGAGCCAGGATCCCATTATATATCTCTTATATATATATGATAATATAATGTATTATCTCTTAATATGATTTATAATTATAGATTATAGATTGATAGAAACTGATGTCTGAACAGACTACACTAATTAAGGCAAAATGGCTTTGAAAAGTACCTTGTGAACATCAGAATTATTCAGGACATGAAGATAAGCAGATGCTAAAAGTTTTGAAGATGAGGCACTATATGGTAAATTCCATAAAATACAGCATATCACACAGGATAATTACAAGAGAATCTCAAAGCACAACATTTAAAAGAATCCCATTAACACTACTGAAGCATATGCCATTTCAGCCACCAGTAATGAAACACGTGTGTAATACATTTCAAGAGAATTAGGGCAGATCCAGGAAGTAAATCTGCTTATAACAGCATATCCATCCAAAGATGGATCATTTATGAATTTTGATTGTTTCTACATTTGAGACATTCAAAACTGACTTTACCACCCCACATATATTCTGATCAGTGGCACACTCAGATGTTCTCTTCCATCTTTTCTGTCTGTAATAAAGGTCTACTTTCAGAAAGTATTTGCAAATCAATAGTACTAGTACTATCTAGACAGCTCTCATAGTCTACATAGGGTTTGAAGGGCAAATAGCATCTGTCCCATACAGAGAAAGTGATTAAACAACTCAAAAGGAAAAGGACAGGTAAACCAGATTCTTATAAGAACCTCACAGTGAAGCAAACAACATCCAAAACTGTTTACCAAATGCTTAATGACCAGTTATCCTTTACAAAACTTGAACTTGCCAGGCAGTCTCTGCAAAAAAACACATTATAAATACAGTGCAAATCAGAAAGATTTTGACTTTACCTGTCAGATGTATTTAAGTGATTTGAAGAAGGGTGCTTAACAATATATATTTTTTAATGAAAATCACATTTTTAATGTGAAATACACAATTTTTAAAAAATAACTTAGAGCTTGAAATCGGAGCGGATACTGGTACTAACTTATCCATACCTCTGAAAAAGTTTCCTTATATTTACACAATACTATATTCAAAAACCTTATGCTGTTTCTGAATAGAGCCCACAACATCCAGCCAAGTACAGCGCACGTAATTCTCTATCAAAGATTTGAAATAAATGTTATTAATGTCAAGAAGTTTAGAAGCAGTGTCGATCCCTTGTTCACATCTATAATGACTTACCCCTTTCCTATTGTGCTGTAATCACTCACCAAAATCTTGCATTTGTTTTCACATTTTTCTAAGAAGTCTGAATCAATAATTCCTGATAGTTCCACCATGACCAGCTGCTCCTACAAGATAAGTTTATAATGTACACCTGTAACAGATATCTGAGTTCAGGGGAAAAAAAAAAAAGCCCCCCAAAACACAACCCAAACCAAACAGAACAGTATACAAAAGACCCAGACCTTCAGAATAAACAGACCCCAAATGGGAGTTATTTGACAGTTCATCAAGAGACAGACAGCTCTTGTAATACCCAGGGAAATGTAGCGATCCATCAGACACCCGTTTCACACATGAATTTCCTGGCCTCTTCTTCCTAGATAGGAATGGAGCTCTTTTCTCCACCCTTGAAAAATGAGCATCAATATGGTGATTTATGAATTATAACAGTATGACCAGTTGCATATTCCAAACTAATTTTTTTCCTAAAGCCTTAGTGCATACCTAAATATGACATCACAGGGGAGGTTAAGCAATGTGTTAACTGAAATAGTTACTTTTTATAACATATTGTTCTGAAATTAATTCCTATATGCAATTCATTACAATTTTGAGTAAGCAAAATGCAAAAACAAAGCAAAAAAAAGTCTGCCTTGAAAAATATTCAAGGAAAACAAGAGCTTTTAAGAGTCACCATCTACTACACATGCATAAACATACATAATAATAGAAGAGTAAGTTTGTATTTTAGGATTTTGTTGGAGTGAGTCCAGAAGAGGGCCACCAAGATGATTAGAGGGTTAGAACACCTATCCTACAAGGAAAGGCTGAGTTGGGATTGTTCTGCATGGGGAACAGAAAGCTCTAGGCACACCTTACAGCAACTTCCAGTACCTAAAGGGAACTACAAGCTGGAGAGGGACATTTTACAAGGGCATGTAATGATAGGACAAGGGTGAATGGCTTTAAACTGAAAGAGGGTGGGTTTAGATTAGATATTAGGAAGAAATTCTTTATTGTGAGGGCAATGAGGCACTGGAACATGCTGCCCAGTGCAGCTGTGGATGCCCCATCCCCGGAAGCGTTCAAGGCCAGGTTGGATGGGGTTCTGAACAATCTGGTCTAGGGGGTGGCATCCCTGCACGTCGGGGGGGGGTTGGAACTAGATGATCTGTAAGGTCCCTTCCAACCCAAACCGTTCTATGATTTTATGAGGTCAGGAAGCAAGTGAAACTGGAAGATCTCTTTCTGACAGCGCCCTTTTCCAGAAAATCTGCAGCAGAACCGCCAGAACCACGCAGCTCTGGCGACGGCACCGCTGCAGGGGCAGAAAAACCCGCCGGACCCAGGGAAAAGCGCTCTCTCTGTGCCCGGCCCCGCTGCCAGCCCGGGCACAGGAACACCGGGCCGCATTACTGCCTGCCCTGCCGAGCGGGCGGAGAGGGGGCGGGCCGGGAAGGGCCAGGCGGGGGCCACGGGCGAGACACGCCCCGCCGGGGGCCGGCCCCTTCCCCTAAGGCTGGGGGGACGTCGGCGTGCACCAACCTCCACCTCGTCTTCCTCCGCTTCATCGCTCCTCTCGCTCCCCGTGCCCGCCGCCGCCGCCGCCATATCACCAGCGCCCGCCCGAGCCCCGCCCGCGCCTCGGCGCGCACCACGTGGTGCCGGTGCCGCCATCTTAGAGCGGGAGCGGCCCCGCCTCGCCCCTACAGCGCCCCTGGGCGGGCTGTGCCAGGGCCTGCGCTCCCTCAGCGGTACACAGCCCCGACCCTGCGCTGAATATTTAAAAAAAAAATAAATAAATTACTGTTTGGCTCTCCCAAATGCTCTGCAGGTTTTTCTTGAATCTCAGAAGTGGTACTGGAAAATGGAGATTCCTAAAATATCTTCCATCATCCTCCGTTTGTTTTGTTTGTTTGTTTGTTTTGAGAAAGGGCTGTCAGATACATCTTTTTCTTGACACAAGTAATGCACTGCTTCCGGTACAGACCATTGGGTTAGAAAGGTTTTATCAAATAATTAAATAATAAAATAATAAAATATACAGTTCATTTCAGTGGGTTATGTCCTTTGCCTGATGCTTTCTGGTGATCCTGTCAGGTTTAAATACACCCCCTGCCTGATTTCCATCTGCAGTGGGTTTTTGAGATACCTTCTTGACTTGTGTGTTTGTAAGTACAGGACGTTGTTGTCCACAAAAATCAGATTTGTTATTTGTTGTGCAATAAGCCAGTAATTACACACTCGAGAGAGACACTGATTATTTAATTCAGAGTTGCACATGCCTGGGTGTTTGGTGGTATTCCACAAATCAAGTACACCAACTAACAAAACCTTTTACCATTCATACACTTGAGCAAACAAAGGAATTAGTGTTCATTGGCTGCAAGTTACATAGTACTCCTATTAATTAGTATTCTGTCTTCTGTTGGTTAATGATTCTCTCGTTTCTCATGCTAATTAGTCCCATGCTCAGGCTTTCTCTTCTGAGTCAGTGGGTTTCTTGGGTCAGTGGCCCATGAGTTGGTGGTCATGATCTCCTCCTGCTGGAATTACCTTTCACCCAGTCGGAGCTGATTTCAGCACAATTGCTGAGTTGGCTTTACTAGTTTCTTCCTTGAGGATTCTGTCAAATGTCCTTGCGGCCCGTAAATTCTGTATTCTCTGTGTCCACTATCAGTATATTGGTATATCCTTCTTCCCAAGTTTTGGTAACTCCCCTCTAGGTCCGAGATCATTGAAGCATGTCAAGCCCTAAATCTTAACAAGGCAATTTACCAACAAGTAATTTGTTTTCTAACACATGAACATCACTTAGAGCTTGTTAGCTGCTCTCTGTTTCATGGATTAAATCTCACTTCTTGTTGGTTAGGCTTAAAACTATACAAAGATCAAACATTAAAGAACATCCTTCCTCAAGAAAATTTTATATATTCCAATAATTTTGCACTCCATAGTCCTCAGTCTCATACTGGTTTTGTAATGTAATTCTTCCCTGTTTTCCTTCCATATGCTATGTTTTCTGATTTTGTACCAAAAGTGTCTTGCTACTTGTTGTGTCAAAGTCATCTATTAAAATGTTAAATAAAAACTGATCACAAGGGAGTTCACTGTAAATTTTTCTCTGGCCTCTACTTATCTTCCATAAGATAAACATAAATGTCAGTAAGTGTTTAACTGTGTCCAGGTAGGTGTGATTTAATGCATTTCTGCTTTTCCTAGAAAAATCACTGATCTTATATCAAATAAGTTTGGTAGGATTGTTCTTTGGGAAGCCAGCATTAGGCTTCATCTAATTTTCTGTTAAGCTTCACATTTTTAATTATTTTTTCGTAGAGCTTGCTTTAGAATATTACATACTAATGTGGTAAAAACAGCCTGTAAATTTGGATTAGTTCTAAATACAGGAAAATATTCTGGGGCATGTTACTTCTTCACCAGGCAAATTGCAAAGCCTTGAATTTTGACTGCAGGGGATAATAGCTGTGGAACAGATGTTTGATATACTACTAATATCAGATATTTTAAAATAATATTTGTATAATTTGGTTAGTATGGGCCACTGTATTTGGGAATTGTAGAAGATAACAAAAATAATTTTTTTAGTATCTGATTTCATGTTCTGCCACTAGAAGGACATAGATAAATAAAATTATGAATAGCTTGTTCAGAATTTCTGACAGAGGTTTTTAATGTGCGTCTAACTTTTAAAGCTGTATTTAAATGTTGGTAACTTTAGCTAGTTGTACTCATGCTGTACAATATGAGTACATGTGTGTAAACCCAACCTTTCAATAATTCTTAACTACTGTTTTCTATTTGTTAATCATTATTCTTGGCAGTTACATTTTTGCACCAGGTCTTTCTGTTTAGATAAATTTTTTGTTGTTTTAAAACAAAGTTCTACCTCAATAAAGCAGAATAAACTCCCTATTCTGAATATATTTTTTTAATTAATTGTCATAACTGACAGTGCTTCTGTAATGTTACATTTAATGTCATTGTTCTCTTTTTATAGCTGAGAGGAGGTTAAGTTTCATAGTTAAAACTAGACAAATCCCTTATAGGAACATAAACCTGTGCCAGATCAGCCTGTGTAAATCATAGACTGGCATGAAATGCTGTGAGGGAGCCAGTATATTTGTTTTCTTTTATATCAGCCTAAGCATCACGTAGTATCTGGGGCATCTCAGTCTCCTGGTTATCATGGTTCAGGGCATGCAGTTGGATATGGGACATTTTTGGTGTGTTAGTGCCAAATGTATTTCAGAAGAGAATACCTCGTTTTCAGGCTAAATTTGCCATGGGCATTAGTTGTTTACCGTGGTCTTTCATATCCTGGCAGGAGTATTTCAACAACCTATCTCTTAAAAGAGACTGTCCTCAGTCTGCCAGTGAGATGAACTGCTTGATGAGATAAATATGGAAATACATCTGTTGAGGATCCAGATTTTGTGTTTCTGAGGCCTCAGCTAACAATGCTGTCAGTCCATGAGCAGATTTATTGTATGCATGCTGCCAGAGGCCAGTAACTTGATGGCACTTAGGTCATTTTGAGTCAGTGACAACTAAATGGTCAGTTTAAAATACATGATCATGTTCGAGATCTGCATATGGATGCAGTAGTTTCAGTGGGTTCACTTGCAATTAATACGTGTTTTATTTTGGGCCCTGTAGTTTGCAAATTTTAGTTGTGGAAGTTCATAGATTAGAGGCTTGGACTATCTATTTTAGCAAATAAACATTGTTGCAGTTAAGGTACAGTATAGGAAATCAGAGAAAGTTCACTGAAACACATAATAAATTCTGGCTTTCTACTTTGTCTAACTTTTTCATTTTCTTTTGATTTTTATCTTCATGCTTGGAATTCCTTCTCAATCCTTTTGCAGAAGGGAAGCAGCCTTTCTCCATTCCATCCTGAGCACTTGCTTTCTTTGTGAGGCTATGGCACTAGTCTAAGTAAAAGGTTAAATGTTTTGTAAAAACACAGGATAAGAGTCTTTTTTAAGTTCTTGTGGTTTTTTTCTGTCTAATTTGATTGTGAATGCCTCTGGTTGAAAGCCTTTTTTATTATGGAGTGAAACCCCACAAAATTTAGCATTTAAAAATGGTAATAGAACATATGCGTGCATCTATACACACACTATATGTTTAGTCTTTGTATCTGTACTGTTTACTGAATTGGCTGCCTCAGGAGAAGGGTGTTGTAGTTCCCAGGCTTTTTTTAAGTTGGAAGGGTAACTAAAAGTGATGATGTGACAAAAGTTGGATATCAGAAGAGATTCTCAGTAAAATGTTACCATGTGAAATGGCTAAATGCAAAGATACAGCATTGTAAGGTGCAGAGAGATGCAGAAGGAAGCTTGTAAGAGGCTAATGTGTATTCTTGGCTGTAGCCAGGGTTACAAAAGGTAAATCAGCCCCAGGACAAAGGTAATTTGCCCGTAGTATTACAGAAGAGGATTTCAATTTCCCTGCAGCTACATTGCTGAGTTTCTTCAGTTTGCAAGCCAAACCAGCTCGTAGGTGTTGCCAAAAAAAAAACAAAACAAAACCCGCTTGTTTCCTTTGCATATGTGCCTTTGTCTTTTCCATAACTCCTTAAACATTATGTGAGGAAATCCTTACCCTACTCAGAGAAGAGTAGGGTAAAGTAGTAAGGGGTGCTTTATTTACACAGAGCTTGTTTACTGTGTCTAGTCTAAGACAATGGAGTGAGACGCAGTACAGTAGGAGGGAGGGAGCACTGGGCTCACATTTTCCCTAATCTTTCTTTTGTCACTTACAGAAGCACTTCTGGTTTTCTTTGACATCCCTCACCGGCTTCAGTTCTAGCTGCTCTTTAACTTTCCTGACCTGTATGCTTGAACAATGTCTCTGTATTCCTCACAGGTTATCTGTCCTTGATTCCACATTTACTATGCTTTCTTTTTGTGTTTGAGTTTGGCTAGGAGCTCC